ATAAAACATTTCTACTTGTTGAAAAAAAATTTCAACAGAAATTCACAATGTTTAGGACACTGAGACATACTGGTATCCATCAGCTGCACAAACTTCATTCCTCTTGTGAAGATAAAATCAGTAGAGAATTACATTGCCTAATTGTCCTACAGTCTGCCAGCTCTGTTATTGCAGGATTGCAGATACCAAGTCGTCAATGCCCTGACTTGTTAAGGCTTCTCAGATGCCTGCCTAGCTGTAAGCAATCCAGTGGCTTTGACAGCAGACTCTGTACCTACCAGTGAAGTGGATCATTAGACTCTCAGCTCACTATTCCACTTCTACACTTATTGGTGGAAGGTGAACAGAATACCTTAAATCTAAATTCTGTAGGTAGATTTGGTTCTACTTGCCTTCTGGGGATAGGGTTGCTTTCTGCCTGGCTTCCAGAATCTGCAGACAAGCAGTTAACTCACATATGCCCAAATGGGATGGGTCTAGGATGTAGGATTTACAAGTGCTGAGATACCCGAGAAGCTTCTCTGGTCCCGGACTGCCCCACTGGCAAATACCACACTCCTGCTATACAATATATTTTCCTCGGGGAAATATCAAAACAGCCCTCTGCTGCAAGCACTTCGTGTTTCTTTACCTTTGGCTTTATGTTCCCTGCAGGATGGGGCTGTTGGTTCATTTGTCTTAGCATCTGGCCAGTCCAAAGGTAGTTTTGTTGTTGCTTGTGTTTTCAACTGTACTTCTCAATTAGTACTTGTCTACCTATTATAAGGTGATGCCATGGCAATGAATAAAGCTCATGTAAAAGCTCATCATGCCCTGAAAGCCTACGTCTCCAAAGCACGTTTGAAAAATAATCAGAAATTTCTTTGGTATACCACATCTGTGTCCATGTTTAATTCTGCTGTATTAGAAGGATGTTGAGATACTGAAGTGAGTGGGTCAGGGTCCCCTGCAATTGTGACTGGGGTGGGTGGTGTACAGGGGGAGTCTGAGATAAAGGGTTTTGTCTTAAGAAGGGAGTGCTAAATGAGAATGTCTTCACCTACCTAATGAAAGGATATGCAGAGGATGGACAGGTCCAGACTCTTCTTGGATATACTCAGCAAAAAGAAGAAAGACTTGCAGATACAAGGCACATCAAGGAATTAGATAGAAAGAAACATATCCTCACTATAAGTGTGACTGAACAGTGGAAGATGGTTACCTAGGGAGTTTATGGAGTCTCTCTCCATCCTTGGAGATACTCAACACCTAACCAGACAGGACTTGGACTATATGGTTTTTAGAGGTCCCTTTCAACCTAAATTACTTTGTGATTTAACTGATAGTTCTTAATCTTTTATACAGCTCTTTATAGAACTAGATTTAACTAATACTTCCTAATCTTTTATACACCTCTTTATAGATCTAGAGTTTTATTTTCATCATTCTAAATGTAAAGAGAATAAAAGCCAGGAAATACTTTCTTAAAATACAGGTTGTTTTTGGTTTTTTTCTCACACTGAACCACTTCTTTGCCAATAGTTCTAGAAAGAAGCACTCTTTTTGACTGTGAATACTCTAAAGCAGATTTGTCAGCCATTGATTCATCAGATCACACATCTAACCTAAAATTTATAGTTAATAAAATAAAAACTTGTTCATGTAGAAGAAGTCCTATGTATCCTCTCCTTATTATAATAAGAGTCTAAGGTAGATCTTAGTTTTAAGGCCAATAGGTGGAAGTAGAGGAAAATATAAAGACAATTTAGAAATAACCCTTTTTTAAAAAAAACTACTACCTTTCAAAAACAAGAGAAATAAAAAAAGACATTTTCTTAACCAGATATGTTATTTCAAATAAATCTGCTGAACTGTACTCCAAGGAAGATTATTTATTCATGTAGTAATTCTTTCTTCTGTACAGCTTTTTTTTTTTTTTTTTTTTTTTTTTTTTTTTTTTTTTTTTTTTT